TGGGAAAAAGTCAACCTACCAGTAAGGGTTTCCTGGTCCCGTGAAGAAACACTTAAAGGGAGCGCGCGCTGGGCGCCACTCGTACCTTCCGGGGCTGCCAGCTTGGATACGAACACTTATCACTGATCCTAAAAAAATTCGAAAAAAAAAATCAAAAAAATCCCAAAAAATAGTCTCTAAAAACTGACTGCAATTTGAACTATCTCATGTTTCAATGAAAGGGTAATTAGCAAGAGGAGGTGATAAGTGAATGCGTAGATGCGGAGTGTCACGTAATTTTTTTTTCACCACTTTCGGGGCTATTTAAAAAAAAAAATAAATTTTGAGGTAATGAAAATGACCAAAAAACATTTAACTACAGAAAATTTCTAATTTTTACAATTTTTATGGTGTTTCATGCCTCAGAAATCAAATTCAATACTCATTTCAACAATTTCAAATTTGGATAATTTTCAGAATTATTACGACTCAATTTTGGAAAATAAATAAATGACTCGCATTATTTCGCAAAAGTTGTAAAATCCCATATCACAATCATGTCACCATATTTATGTTTCTTATCACAGAAATAAAACGACTTTCATGCTGTTGGAATGTTAATACAATTTTTTTTTTGAGTTCAAATTAAAAAAAAACTTATTTTGACCTTATTTTTTTTTTATAAAAGTAACACTTACCACAAGAAAAAAAAAATAAAAATTCTTATAAAAGGCTTGATTTTCTCCAAAAAAATCACTACATCATCAACTGATTTTAATAAAAGCACAAAAAATAAACTTTACACTTAAACTGACCATTTTTATCTGATTGCTTAGAATAACTAGTCTTAAATAAATACAACTGATAACAAATTGTTATCACTAATTTAATCATTATCGATTATTAATAAAGTGGTCTTTATTCTTATGAAAATTTAACACTCAAAATGACAACAATCATAAACAATAATCTTCAAGCAAGATTTAGATTATTTTTAATCCAGTGGTGGAATTTTTTTCTGAAATTGCTGAAACCTGAAAAAGTCGTTTCCATTGCCTTAAAAGGTGTTTTCTCTTAATAAATAACAAATACAAAGTTTGCAATTGTGACGTAAATGTAATCTGATTAAATTTTATCACAATTGATTACACTTTCTTGGTTTTTAGACAAATTATGCAAGAAAAAAATTACAACAATTGTAAAAATGAACGTTGATTATTTTGTTCTTGAACATTGAACTGATGTTCACCTCCAGTTTCACTCTTGTATAAAAATTGAGTGATTCATCAACGTTTCTTGGGTTTTATTTCAGGCAATTGCTCACATTTCAGACATTTATTTAGCAAAAAAATCACTAATTCCTATTAAATACCTTTAAACTAAAATACACCAAAACTACTAAACTGTGTTAGTTTAGTTATCTCGCTGATAATGTTTTGTGATAAAAAGCTTGCAATTATCGAAAACTGATTAGTCGCAAACTTGCATCAAAAAGTGTTAAAAGTGAAATTCACCCTTGAACCAATTTCATGAAAATGAACCATTTTTGCACTGAAACTAATGACTCACACTAAATTAAGCCGGAATTGGTCAAGGGCCCCCCACAATGCGCCCCAAAACTTACGTTTTGACATTTCACATTTCGAAACACATTTTCACACTTAACTACAACAATTTTCAGCGTTTTCAGTTGCGACACTTGTTTTTTCAGTTTTTCACACACTTTTGCATTATTTCAACACAAAATCAACGGTTTTTTCACATTTTAACCGTCTGGCCATCCACCTCTGACGTCTGTCAGATGTCAAAAAAAACTGTCAAAATACGCATGCCCCAATCGCGCTGTCTCACTCTAATAACGTATGTCGGATGATTATGTAACCAGAAAATTAAATTTTTTGCGATTATTGTCGCAATTAGCGACTTGTATGGTTACAATTTGATAAATCTGGGGGTATAAATACGGTACAGTATTTTTTTGAGGGCTCCATTGCGTGTAAGAAAGTCGCAATCAGGGTTGCCAACTTAAACGTGTTTGCATAATTTACACAAATCCCAGGATTTTTTTACAATTGTTATTGCATAATTTGATTGATTTGTGGATAATAAACACAGTTTTATTTATTCCACTGTTTTGTTAATTCGCCGCATTTTTTTTCTAATTATTTTGGAGCGAAAAAAAAATAAAAAATACCAAATTTTGTAACAAAAAAATGGGCCAGTTTTTTTCCCTCAATTTCGCCAAAATTCTTATTTTCGAGTTTAAGACCCCCGGATTCTTCCCTCCCAACAGGGAAACTTCTTTTTCTTGGTTGGCCAAAAGAAGTAGACATATATTGATTAAAATTAAAAGGTAGTTTATTTTTATGTCTGAGATGGTCTTCCCACCTAGCAATTCTTTCATCGAAATTCGATCAAATTGAGTGTCAAACGTGTCAAAACGATGGCTTTGGCCGATGATCAACAATTTTGTCTTAGATGGAACAATTTTCAAGCGAATATTACGTCACAATTCGAGGCTTTAAGGGACGATGAAGACTTCACCGACGTCACAATCGCCTGCGAGGGACAACGAATGCAAGCCCACAAGGTGGTCCTCTCGGCCTGCAGCCCCTTTTTCAAAGAACTCTTCAAAGTGAGTCGCTTTATCGATTAGGGCGTTTGGCCGATTTGAATTTCCCGCCAATTGAATTATTTCACACACACACCAAAACGTGTGCTTTTCCACACTTAAGTGCTAATTACAATGTTAAATTACAATTACTAATTACAATTCACCCCAATTAAGCGATTTTATTGCCGGTCATGCAACTCGATATACACTCACGTATTGCGGGTTGCATTTAAAAAAAATTTTTTCAGACGAATCCCTGTTCTCACCCGATTATTTTCATGCGTGACGTTGAAGCGAGACACATCGTGGCCCTAATGGAGTTCATGTACGCCGGCGAGGTCAACGTGGCTCAAGCCCACTTGTCCGCATTCCTGAAAACCGCTGAATCGCTGAAAATCCGGGGATTAACCGACACTTCGGCCGAAAATGAGACTCAAAACACCCTTTATCTCAACCCCCAATCTAAAACCGCCCCCTTGAAACACAAAGTCTCCTCCTCGAGCACGGTTACTTCCAGTCAGGACGTTTCAACCCTTTCGAGCCCCCCTCCGAAGCGTCAATGCAAGTCCGAGGGGGTGAAGATCAAGGAGGACGCCATCAACCCCTTCGCCCTCCAGGAGCCCAAAGTGGAGCTCCCGGATTACCTCAGTGACGAGGGGGATGTCACCGAGTTTCCCGGCGGCATGGAGATCATCCCCCAGGTGTCGAACTTCGTCAAGGAGCCCCCGTCGCAGGATTCCCCCCAAGGTATGAGTGTGTTTTTTTGCAAGCTTGGGGTCCAGCGATGATTTTGTTTGTTGCAGACACCCGAAAACTGCACTCGCTGGACCCCAGGCCTTGCGAGGAGTGCGGCCGAGTGTACAGCAATTTATCGAATTTGCGTCAACACATGAAACTCATTCATTACCCCACTTATGTGCAATGTCCGGTGTGTAAAAAGCCGTTCAAGACGGATTTGTACCTCCGGAGACACGTCCAGAGCGCGCACGAGGGCCCCAAGCCCCTCAAAATGCCCCTCAAAACCGCCTAATCCCGTGTATTAATTTTCTTTAATAAAGTGAGTTGAAAACAACACGATTCTGGTTTGATTATAGCCCCTTTGAGACTGCGTCGACGACGCTCGTCCGACTGGCCGGAGGAGAAAGGAGACAGGAGAAATAGACTGGTAAAGCCCCCACGTCACGGTTCATTTCTACCAACTTAAATTTAGGTGAAATTAGGTGAAGGGATTGAAATCTACGAGGATCAATTACGGAGTGTCAAGTGGAATGACTACAGGAAGTTGACAAGGGGGCTGGCGACGATTTTGTTCAGTCCGGCGGAGTTGGCCACGTGTTCGGTCACGGGGCAGAGGTGGAGTCGGGCGGGAAGCGGGGAAAGACCCGTGAAGCCGGCTTTAGACCGCTCCAAAGTCCAAGCCATCATTTGTAATTTTTTTTTCAATTATTTCAATGAAAAAAAATATTTTTTTTTTAGCATATGTGGCTACGAGGTTCCCCATGGTGGAAATTAGCCGAATCAAGCAGGTTTTGGCCTATAAATGCAAGGAAAACTCCACGGCTTTTAAAATGAAAGCGGTGCGCTATTACGAGTAAGTTTTCAGCGTTTCAGGGGATTTTTTTCATGTTTTTTCATAGGGATCAGCATCAGAAGTGAATATCAGACTAGACTAGGGAAACAATATCATGTGTCAAATATTTCCAGTGTTTATCCTTCAAATTGTGTATATTTAGTTGTTGGAGTTTTGTTTTTTATTTATTTATTGGGTAATAAAGCATTGAATTTGAGTTGGTTTGTTTTTTGACTGATAAAAAATCGATTGGCAACACTGAAATTTGTCATATCGGAGGTGTTCACGCAACTGCGGAGTCATGATTCGCCCGTCACACGTGAATAACAATTGCGTATAAAAATTTGACGTTTGAATTTGACAAGATTGCCAAATTAAAACGTCAATTTGTGGTTTTAGGAAAGTTTATTTTCTAACTTTTCAAGTTTTTTCAGCAGTGAATATCAGTCTAGACTAAGGAAACAATATCATGTGTCAAATATTTCCAGTGTTTATCCTTCAAATTGTGTACATTTAGTTAATGAAATTTTGTTTTTTATTTATTTATTGAGTAATAAAGTATTGAATTTTATTTGGTAGAATTTTTCTAAATTTTGTTATTGTTACAACTCAAGCGAACGTAGCGAGTGGCTTGAATGAAAGTTTTTTAATCTTTTTTCAGTATGGCTTCAATGCGAATTTTTATATTCTTTTTAGTAAAGCTTAAATGAGAATTATTTCATGTTTTTTTTGCTAAAGTTTTTGTAAATTTTAGTGATTTTTACAACTCAAGCGAACGTAGCGAGTGGCTTAAATAAAATAAAAAATTTAATATTTTTTAATGCGATTTTTTTGATGTTTTTTAAGTAAGATTTTTGTAAATTTTGTGATTGCTGCAACTCAAGCGAACGTTGCGAGTGACTTAAGTGAGGGTTTTTTAATCTTTTTTTAGTATGGCTCCAATGCGATTTTTTTGTTATCCTTTTTAGTTAAGCTTAAATGAGAATTATATTATGTTTTTTTGTAAGATTTTTGTGATTGTTACAACTCAAGCGAACGTAGCGAGTGACTTAAATAGGAATTTTCTAATCTTTTTTTTAGTATGGCTTTAAAGCGAATTTTTTAATATTCTTTTTACTATAGCTTAAATGAGAATTATTTGATATTTTTTGACTATAAAAATTTGAACTAGTATTTTAAATTCTAAATTTTATTTTTCTAACTAACTACACTTTTGAGAAAATTAGGAACTTGGTATCCTTATCCTTCTTGTCCTTTTTGTCCTTGTTTTTCCCGCCTTCGGAGACGGTGGTTTCCACATACCACTTGGACTTGATGTGCACTGCAGTGTAGCCAACTGCAACATTCCACTCCGACTCATTGTGCTTCTCTTGGAACAATTCGGAATAAAGTTTGGCTTTATCCACAGGCTCGGAATACACAGCGTAGGCCTCCTTGAGACACTCAACAGCGTCCACAATGTAGTGTATTGACGGGACTTGAGTCACATTAGTGGCGTGAATCTGTAAAACACACTCTACAGTCCTACCAACCTAAAATAAAAACAACAAAAAACTCACCACAACCTCAGAAGGGGTGTCACTTTTGGGCAAGACTTTCGCACTCGCTACGATTGCACAAAGAGCGACAAGAACCACAAAAGTCGACATTTTGGTTCAATTTGAAGAAAACTCGAGTTTAGTGTGCTTATATACCGAGGGGTAAACAATCTCGAGTGTTTTTAATCGTGGGAAAAATACTCAAACTGACCCAATTGTTGACTTTTTGATCGGAATTTTGTAACAGAGTTCGTTCCGAATTATTATGACAGTTGTCATAGCAACGGTACAAATGGCCTTCTCCTATTGGCTGTGCCCTTAGTGTTGCCTAGCAACCAGTGTTTGTAACAGAGTGCGTTCCAAATTCTCATGACAGTTGTCATAGCAACGGTACAAATGGCCTTCTCCTATTGGCCGTGCCCTAGTGTTGCCTAGCAACCAATGTTGAATATAAATTCGAAGCGATTTTTACTTATTTTTTTCGAGTTATCTCACAGATCTCGTGTCGATAACACTTCTTCGAACTTTAGGAGAGTAAATAGGTTAAAAAACAATGATTTATGATCAGTTTACGTGAAAAAATCACACAATCTGATAAAACCCTAATTGGTTTGGGTCAATAAACACTTGTACTTGTTGACAGTTGAATTTTTGACGTGTTTGTGGGGTTATATATTGAGTGGTCGAGGCAAAAATAAATTTAGTAGAAGACAATCATGGCTCGAGTTTTGGTCACAGTTTGTTGTTTCATCGTTTTTGCCGCTCTGGCGCTTGGGGGGAAGATAGTGGAGGAAAAGTCAAAGGCCAAAGCGACGATTTCTGTAAGTTTTTACAACTCGAGCGAACGCAGCGAGAGGCTTAAATGCGGATTTTTAGTAAAATTTCGGTATATTTTGTGATTGGTACAACTCAAGCGAACGTAGCGAGTGGCTTAAATGAGAATTGTTTAATGTTTTTTTTTTTTGGGTAAAATTTTTCTAAATTTTGTGATTTTTACAACTCAAGCGAACGTAGCGAGTGTCTTAAATAGAATTAATTTTTTTTATTAGTTTGGCTTAAATGCGAATTGTTTGATGTGTTTTAATTAAGATTTTTGTGAATTTAGTGATTTTTGCAACTCAAGCGAACGTAGCGAGTGGCTTAAAGGAAAATTATTTAAAGTTTTTTTAGTATGACTCCAATGTGAATTTTTTGTCATTTTTTTTAGTAAAGCTTAAATGAAAATTATTTGATGTTTTTTTACTAAAATTTCTGTAAATTTTGATATTTTCTCAATTCAAGCAAACGTAGCGAGTGGCGTAAATGTGAATTTTTTGATGTCCTTTTAATATGGCGTAAATGCGAATTTTTTTGTTTTTTAGTGCAATTTTTTTGATGTTTTCTCAGTAACATTTCTGTAATTGTTACAACTCAAGCAAACGTAGCGAGTGACATAAATGAGAATTTTTAATTTTTTTTTGGTTGGTTTTTGGTAAAATTATTGTAAATTTTGTGATTTTTACAATTCAAGCAAACATAGCGAGTGGCTTAAATGAGAATATTTTTGTTCTTTTAAATATGGTATAAATGCGAATTTTTTGTTGTTTTTAGTAAAGCTTAAATGAAAATTATTTGAAGTTTTTTTAGTAAGATTTTTGTGAAGTTAGTGATTCTGCAATTCAAGCGAACGTAGCGAGTGATTCAATGAGAATTTTTTAGTTTTTCTAGTATGGCTTAAATGCGAATTTTTTGATGTTTTCTCAGTAACAGTTCTGTAAATTTTTGTGGTTGTTACAACTCAAGCGAACGTAGCGAGTAGCTTAAATGAAAATTTTTTAATGTTTTTTTTAGCATGGCTTCAATGCGAATTTTTTGTTAGTATTTTTGGTAACGCTTAAATGAGAATTATTTAATGTTCTTTTGGTAAAATTTTTGTAAATTTTAATGATTTTTACAACCCAAGCGAACGTAGCGAGTGGCTTAAATGAGAATATTTTTATTTTTTCAATATGGTTTGAATGCGAATTTTTTTATGTTTTTTTAGTAAGATTTCTGGTAGTTTTTTAATTTTTACAACCGAAGCGAACACAGCGAGTGTCTTAAATGGGATTTTTTTTATATTTTTTAGTTTGGCTTAAATTCGAATTTTTTAATGTTTTTTAAGTAAGCTTTTTGTAAATTTTGTAATTTCTGCAACTCAAGCGAACGTAGTGAGTGACATCAATAAAAAAATTTAATTTTTTTTTTAGTATGGCTAAAATGTGAATTTTTTGTTATTCTTTTTAGTGAAGCTTAAATGCGAACTATTTGATGTTCTTTTCGTAAAATTTTTGTAAATTTTGTAATTTGTACAACTCAAGCGAACGTATCGAGTGGCTTAAATGAGAATATTTTTGTTTTTCTAATATGTTTATGCGAATTTTTTGTTGTTTTTAGTAAAGCTTAAATGAAAATTATTTGAAGTTTTTTATATATTTTTGATGTTTTTTAAGTAAGATTTTTGTAATTTTTGTGATTGCTACAACTCAAGCGAACGTAGCGAGTGACTTAAGTGATGTTTTTTTAAACTTTTTTAGTATGGCTCCAATGCGCTTTTTTTGTTATTCTTTTTAGTTAAGCTTAAATAAGAATTATATGATGTTTTTTTGTAAGATTTTTGTAAATTTATTGATTTTTGCAACTCTAGCGAACGTAGCGAGTGGTTTCAATGTGAATTTTTTTGTTTTTGTTTAACCTTGCGTTAATGAATTTGTTTTTGATGTTTTCTCAGTAACATTTGTGTAAATTTGGTGATTGTTACAACTCAAGCGAACGTAGCGAATGACTTAAATAGGAATTTTCTAATCTTTTTTTAGTATGGCTTTAAAGCGAATTTTTTAATATTCTTTTTAGTAAAGCTTAAATGAGAATTATTTGATATTTTTTTGATAAAATTTTTGTAAATTTTACAACCCAAGCGAACGTAGCGAGTGGCTTAAATAAAAATATTTTTATTTTTTCAATATAATTTAAATACGATTTTTTTGATATTCTTTTAGCAAGATTTCTGGTAGTTTTGTAATTTTAACAACAAAAGCGACTTCCTAAATACGTTTTTTTTATATTTTTTTAGTTTGGCTTAAATGCGATTTTTTTGATATTCTCTTTAGTAAGCGTAAATGGAAATTATTTGAATTTTTTTCAGCAAGATTTTTATAAGTTTTGTGATTTTTACAACCCGAGCCACCGTAGCGAGTAGGTTAAATATATGTCTTTTGATATTTTCTCAGGTCCAAGCCACAAACAACACACAAGTACCTTCAGTCACTTACATTGTGAGTGCTGTGGAGTGTTTGGAAGAGGCCTACTCGATTTACGACAATGACGAAGACCGAGCAACCTTGTACGCAGCCCTCTTCGAGGAGAAACACAACGGATCGTGGAACGTACTCGTCGGTTATAGCGCCGTTTTCGTCCATTCGGACATCTACATCGAGACAATGGTTTCGGGGGAAAAAAGCAAAAAGAGTGACGATGACTCAAACAAATTGTTTTTCATTTTTTCTGATTAATTTACAAAAAAATTAAATTACTTTCTTTTAAAATGGTCGTTATTAATTTCAATCTTCAAGGGACTCTTATACATTGATTTCTCCTCAATTTCCTCCTCCTCCTCCTCCTCACTTTCACTCACTTTGGACCAGGCGACAGCCGAGGCAACGGCCGGTTTCTTCTGCGTTTTAATGACCACAGCCACCTTACTTCTCGGCTTATCATGTTTATAATCATCAAAATCATCGTCGCTGGCCGAATGGCGCCGCTGTGGCGGTTTAACCGGTTCGGTTTTGATCTCAAAAACCATTTTTTTGCTCCTGTTCTTCAACCGCGTGCCCAAATCGAACACTTCCGGTTCGGTTTTCTCCAATTTGGCATGTGTCCGGTTCGCCATATTCAAAACCGATCTCAAATCCGAATTCGACGATTTATCTTCATCAATCTTCCGAATTTGCGTATTAATCCGTTTCAACATCCGTTTCCGTTTGATTTTCTCTTCTTCCTCATCGGCGTACATGCGCATGCGCGGGATTTTCGACTCGACAAGTGTTCGTTTAGCGCCGAGTCGCACTCGGAGACTCTCGTTTTTGACTTCGACCTTCGGCTCGGTTCGTTCTTTTTCGCGGAATGGCGAGTCCTCGTCCCAGTTTTGGGCCAATACCGACCAGGGGTTTTCCCCGGGACGTTTCATGTCCTTATTGCGGGCGAAAATCCCACTGCTGCCAACCTTCAACCTTTGTTTGTAGTATCGCGCGAATTGCTCGGTTTTGAAGGGTTTTTTGTCGGTGATGAGGGCGAAGCGCATGAGGAGGCTATTTTTTGGGGGTTTCACCCCCAAACGCCAGTACCCCGGGGGGATGGTTGTGGTGATTTCGGCGATATCGACCGAATTTGGGTCAATGTCTTCCTGGATTTGAATTTCGCGGTTTTTGTTCAAAATGAGGAGGCTTTGGTCGGGCATAGTGTCGAAATAGCTCGTGTCGTCGCGCACAGGCATGCCTCTGACCGGCTTCGACATGAAATGCAATGCCCTGGCTGCTGAAATTCCGTCTTTCCAGACGACATTGCAGCACTCCTCGTCTAGCCACTCGACTGAAACAGGGGCATATTCCAGGAAATAGGCTAAAATGTCGCCGGCTTTCATTTGTTCTATGCCTCGCATGTGAATTACCTCGAATTTCACGTTCGACTCATTCGCGGCATTTATCCCCAAACTGGCGTGAAGTAAGCGCAAATCCTCGTCGGTGAAATTCTTTATTTCGGCGGGGTTGAGGCTAAAACGCCGAGCGCGCTCCTCAAGCTTGTCTTTCTTGTCGAGGAGACCCGAAGCCCCCTGCAAAAATTTAAATTTCGCGCCACTTTCACTAAAAAAAAACGCATTTTGGATAAACAATTGTCAATGTCAAAAGTAGGAGTTGCCAATTGTGCAATTAAAAGTCACTATTTTGATTTTGACAATTCTTTAGTTAACGCACCTCGAGGGGTGGGAACTGGACCGGGGATGGGCCTGGGGCCCCCTTGGAGTCGCCATCGGAGATCTCGCCCTCTTCGTTCTCGTCCACGTCCATGCTCTCGACGAGGTTGTTTTGGATCTCGACGCGGATGTTTGGGCGCATTTTTGCAATTAAATTCGATTAAATAAACACAGTGGAAGCGAAAAACGTTTACATTGTTTTGGTGACGTTCACTGAAAGTTACTAGAAAAGTCACTAGATCCAAAATGGTGGACAATGGCACGCAATTAATTTACACGGCTGTATTACTGGTTGCATACATTGGGACTAGAGTATTTTTTAAATAACTTTTTTTGTTTATGTAATCCTGATAGTGGAACGGGTTTTCTAGACCCGATTTGTGTGTGGTAACACGAATTTGTTGTGTCAATGGTTTCGACTTTTTCGAGAAAATTGCAATGTTAGTGAAATTTAGTTAGGTTAAAAGACTTTTTGGTACTCCTGCTTCCCCCATAAACTGGAGGTCTGAGAGACTCCAATGTTTCTACCATAATACACACACACATGAATGAAATTAATTTAGTTATTTTCATTTTATTCGAAAAATAACCAAATTAGGTTCTTTTTTCGTTACTGTTGGCAGCTTCTGCTCCCCTAATACAAACGGACGTCTCACAGACCCGGTTCATTATATGACCTGAAGGTCAATAAACGCCACCTCTAATCTAGGGTTTTTCATGTTTAAGTGTCAAAAAAACTCGTAAAACTAAAGATTTATTACATTGAATACAAAACTGACAAGCTTAAGTTGGCACCCCAGATGAAGCGTAGTTGGAATACTATACGTTGGCAGCACTGCAATGGCTACCAGGCGAATTTCTCGGCCTCCTTCGACCACTTGTAGAACCCTCCCCGTTTCTTGAACATTTCCTCGTCAAATCCTGAAAATTTTAGCGCGTTTTCAACGCCAATGTCCAAAATGGACTTGGAGGGCACTTTAGAGCCACTCGTGCAGTCCAAAAACCGCATCTGAAACTAAAATTGAGCACAGAAATACCTAAAAAAAAAACACTAACGTATTCGTCAAGAATCAAATAACTGTTTTGCATCTTTGTGTTGGATTCAGGAACCAAGCTTTTGACGGTTTCATGTCGCTGTAAAAAGCTTTCGAAAGCTGAATCGTCGATGTAAAAGTGTTCGGCGTTTCGCAGAGCTTCAGGACCGGCGTTTTCGCCCTCGAGGAGCAAACACTGAAACACTTTCCACCTGAAAATTGGGATAATTTATTTAAAAAAATTATAAACAAAAAAATTGATTTATTTTAAATCATATTTTTTATGGTCGCCAGATTTCAAACTGGCAACATTGTAAAAATTATAGGAAACTATTACTTTTTAGAATGTTGTGATTTATAGAGTAAATTTTTTAAATTTACAGGGTGTGGCAAGTAAATATGTCAAAAATGACACGCTAGGTATGTGATTCTTCCACAGCCACCTTTAAATTGAAACGACCTCAAAAAAATAAAAAATGACGTAATTTGTGAAAATACAGTGTTGTCAAGTTTTTGTGACTTATTATAAATATACTGAGTGTACCAGACAAAAATGCTAAAAATAGTAGATCATTACTCGTCCACAGCCACCTTCAAACTGATATGTTTATAAAAAAACAAACGCGCATCGTTTCGGAATTTTCTTCAAGTTTTTGTTTGAATTTTTGTCAAAATCAGAGCAAAGTCGAGCTGGCAACGTTGCGATTTGGATGTTTTAGAAAGTTAAAAAAAAATTGTAGCATACTAGAGAAATAATAATCAATTTTTTCTACTTTTTAGAATGTTGTAATTTATAGGGTGTATTTTTTAAATATACAGGGTGTGGCTGGTAAATATGTCAAAAATTTAGTTAAAAAGAAAATCGTAGCAAACTAGAGAAATTCTAATCAATTTTTTCTATTTTTTAGAATGTCGTAATTTATAGGGTGTATTTTTTAAAATATACAAGGTGTGGCAAATAAATATGTCAAAAATAATAATCAATTTTTTCTACTTTTTAGAATGTTATAATTTATAGGGTAATTTTTTTAAATATACATGGTGTGGCAGGTAAATATGTCAAAAATGACACGCTAGGTATGTAATTTTTCCACAGCCACCTTTAAATTGAAACGTCTTCAAAAACATCAAAAATGACGTAATTTGTGAAAATACAGTGTTGTCACGTTTAAATATACTGAGTGTACGAGACAAAAATGCTAAAAATAGTAGTTCATTATTCCACAGCCACCTTTAAAGTGATACTTTTATAAAAAACAAACGCGCAACGTTTCGGAATTTTCTTCAAGTTTTTGTCAAAATTTTCTAGTCGCCTGAGCGAAGTCAAGCAATTAAAAAAACTATAGCAAAATAAAAAAATAATAATCAATTTTTTCTATTTTTTCGAATGTTGTAAAATTATGGGGTGTATTTTTCAATATACAGGGTGTGGCAAATTTCCTTAAAAACATGAAAAATTATGTAATTTGTAAAAAAATGTGTGACTGATTAATGTCAAAAGTGACATTTGACCATTGTTCCACAGCAACTATTAAAAAGTTAAAAAAAAATTAGAAATCGTTTAAATTTTCACTCATTTTTTAATGTACATATACAGGGGGATCACAATATTGGTCCCAGTCGCATATTTCAAAAACAAATTTTATGTGCATAAAAAAATTAAAAATTAATAAAAAATAAAATGGTATTACCGGATTGGGTTGATCCGCCGGATTTGTTCACACATATCCTCGTCCTTGTTGTAAGTATTGACAACTGTGTTCAATTTGAACAAAATTTTGTATTTTTCGCACCAATTGCGCACTTTTAGGATTTGCTCCAAGTGGTTTTTGGTGCCTTGACCACGACCAATGACCTAAAAAAATTAAATCAATTTTTTTAGACCAGCAATTTGGAACAGACTCTACCTTGTTAGTGTCCTCATTGAAGGAGTCGCACGAAACGGCCATAATGTCCACATATTGGCCGTAATTTTGGAACCATTTTTCCGTAATTAGGGACCCATTTGAGACCACGGAAACCGATGGTAGTTTCAGAACCATTTTGCAAAATTTCACCATTTCGCCCAAATGGCGGCCCCGTGTCACAATAAATGGTTCCCCGCCGCTGAAATTAATCTTTTCCATTCCTAGAAATTAAAAAAATCACCCAAACAAAGCAAAATCTAATAATAAAGCATGATGATGTTTGATCGTTTTATTATCTCTTAGTGATAAAAAATCAAACAATGAGAAAAATTCTGGGAAACCCCGACTCACCTGCCTCTTTGAGCATCCTGAGCCCCCTTTTGGCCACTCCCAAGTCCAAAACAAACGACGTTTTGGCAGTGTGAAAGCAAAAACCGCACGAGTAATTGCATTGCCTCGTAAAATGGTAATTGACACTTTTCGGGATGATTCGATCAATTTTTCGAATTTTCCCGCCACAATTTTGAAAAAAATACTTCAGACACGAAAAAACCACCATTAAAATGGTCAAAAACACGAAAAATTCGTCAAAATCAAGCAACATTTTGCTAGTGCGTTGTTACACGAATGCACGCAACGCAAAACCGCCTACTATTTATAACTCAAGTCGAGTGCTTCCCCGGTTTTCGCACACAAACACGCGCATCAAGTCGCCATGGCAGACAAACTGGCAACGTTGCGATTTAAAATTTTGGGCAAAATAAAGAAATCAAAAACAATTTTTTACATCGTAAATTAATTTTGAATATACAGGGTGTAACGTGTAATGTGATTGTTTAAATATACTGAGTGTGCTAGACAAAAATGTTAAAAATAGTAGTTCATTATTCAAGCCACCTTTAAATTGATACGTTTATAGAAAACAAAAGCGCATCGTTTCGGAATGTTTTTCAAGTTTTTGATTGAATTTTTTTCGCCTGAGCAATGTCAAACTGGCAACGTTGCGAATTGGATTTTTTAGTAGATAATTTAAAAAAAAATGTACCAAAATAAAAAAGAAATAATATATTTTTTCTACTTTTTATAAGTTTAAAAAAGATATTTTGAAATATACAGGGTGTGGTGGGTAAATATGTCACAAACACCTTTAATTGAAACGACTTTAAAAACATCATCAAAAACCATGTAGTTTGTAAAAATACAGTGTTGTCAAGTGACTTATTTTAAATATACAGAGTGTGCCTGACAAAAATAATAGTTCATTATTCTTCCACAGCCACCTTTAATCTGATACGTTTAGAAAAAACAAGCGCGCATCCTTTTCAAGTTTTTGATTGAATTTTTGTCAAAATCAAGTCGCCTGAGTAAAATCAAACTGGCAACGTTCCGATTTAGATGTTTTAGTAGAAAGTTCACAAAAAATTGTAACGAAATAAAGAAATAATAATTAATTTTTTCTACTTTTTAGAATATTGGAAATTTATAGGGTGTATTTTTAAATATACAGGGTGTGGCAAAAATGACATGCTAGGCATATGATTGTTCCACACTCACCTTTAAATTGAAGTTTTATTAAAAATATCAAAAATGGCGTAATTTGAAAATACAGTGTTGTCAAGTTTTTGTGACTTTTTTTCAATATACGGTATGTGCCCGACAAAAATAGTAATTCATTATTTTTCCACAGCCACCTTTAAACTGATACGTTTATAAAAAACAAACGCGCATCGTTTTAGAATTTTCCTTAAATTTTTAATTGAATTTTTGTCAAAATCTAGTCGCCTACCTAAGCGAAGTGAAGCTGGCAACGTTGCAATTTGAATGTTGTAGAAAGTTAAAAAAAAATGTAGCGAAATAAAGAAATAAAAATTTATTTTTTTTACTTTTTAGAATGTTGTAAATTTATAGGGTGTATTTTAAATATACAGGGTGTGGAAAGTAAATATGTTAAAAATGATAAATAGATATATGGTTGTTCCACAGCCACCTTTAAATTTAAATTGAAACATGAAAAATAACATAATTTGTGAAAATACAGTGTTGTCACGTTGTAGATGTTTTACATATACCGAGTGTGCCAGTCAAAAATGTTAAAAATAATTCATTATTCATCCACAGCCACCTTTAAATTGATGTTTATGAAAAACAAACGTGCATCGTTTCGGAATTTTCTTCAAGTTTTTGTCAAAATCTAGTCGCCTGCGAAGAGTCAAGCTGGCAACGTTGCGATTTGGATGTTTTAGAAAATTTGAAAAAAATTGTAGCGAAATAATACATTTTTTCTATCTTTTAGAATGTTGTAAATTTATAGGGTGTATTTCAAAATATACAGGGTGTGGCAAGTAAATATGCCAAAAATGACATGCCAGACTTATGATTCTTCCACAGTCACCTTTAAACTGAAATTTCCTTAAAAACATCAAAAATGCGCGTGATTTGTAAAAATACAAAAACTTAATTTTTTTTGTGACAGATAAATCTCAAGTGGCATTTGACAATTGTTCCACTATTAAAAAGTTTAAAAAAATGTATAAATCGTTTAAATTCTGACTCATTTTTTTAATGTATACAGGGAGGTCACAAATTTGGTCCCAATCACATATTTTAAAAACTGCTCAACGTAATTTTTTGAAACTTTGCACACGCATAGGTGTTAGTAAAATCTATCATGTGTACTTTTTTTACTTTTGCACCGTCATTTATTTTTAAAATACAAGGCGAACTTGATTTTTTCATCTATTGAAAAAAGAAGATTTTTTTTCTGAATATATTAATTTAGTTGGGGTTTTTTGGGGTAAAAATAAAACTCGTTGAATCATAATAATGTATTTATGTCTAAATTTGTACTAAATATAAATAAGTACCCTATATAAAAATACACTCTACACACAGTTTATACATAACCTCAACATCTGTATCTACCATGAAAATTGCTTTGATTAGCCACGTGATCATTTCACGCAAAATCTGAAAATTTATTGCACCGCTACTGAAAAAATCCAAAATGAAATGATCACAAATTTCTAGGCCCTCACCCTTGCATTCATAAAATCGGTTAAATATAACGTCCACTATGAAATTCAATTATATCACAAAAGTACATTTGAGTGTACTACACATAATTCGTTTCGTTTGAATAATCCCAAGTTCATAAAAAAAATACGATTATAACCTATGTACAGTCTTATCTAAGCTCGCTACTCGTCGCTAAATAATAAAACAAGTCAAAAAAGTACAAGTCTATTAAACCAATTTACATATAGACAATAAATACGACGTAAATAAATTAAACGTGGTTGGCTGTGAGGGGAGGAGTTTCGTCCAATTCGTCGAGGAAGTCGAAACTTGCGACAGCTTCCATTTCCTTTGCGCCGTAGCGGACGTAGAAGTCGGGCCGGCCTATAATTGAGGGCCTCGAGGCCGTCGCCGCTCGGACTACTGCCAATTCGGGACGGGCGGCGTTCGCTGCAACGACGCCAAATTATCAGACGGCCGTCTCGGTGATGGGGGTGCACGGAGCCGAGGTCGAAGCTTGAAATCCCCAACATTTACTGTACAGTTCGCTCCAAACACCAATCAGAAACGCGCATTCCAAAAAGCATATAATTCACATATCGGAAATTCGGGGAATCCCAAAATCAAAATTCTGACCATCGGAGGACACTCCTTAGATCTTTTCTAGATCATTCCACCGAAAAAAAATTTTTAGAATGCCGTTTCATCACTTAAAAACACGCATTCCAAAAAGCATATAATTCACATATCGGAAATTCGGGGAATCCCAAAATCAAAATTGTGACCATGGGAGGACACTCCTTAGATCTTTTCTAGATCATTCCACCGAAAAAATTTTTTAGAATGCCGTTTCATCACTTAAAAACACGCATTCCAAAAAGCATATAATTCACATATCGGAAATTCGGGGAATCCCCAAATCCCGATTCTGACTATCGTGGGCCACTCCTTAGATCTTTTTTAGACCATTCCACTAAAAAAAAATTTTTTTGGAATACCGTTTCATCATTTAAAAACATGCATTCCAAAAAGTATATAATTCACATATCGAAAATTCGGGGAATCCTCAAATCAAAATTCTGACCATCGGAGGACACTACTTAGATCTTTTCTAGACCATTCCACTGAAATTTTTTTTTTTGGAATGCCGTTTCATCATTTAAAAACACGCATTCCAAAAAGCATATAATTCACATATCGGAAATTCGGGGAATCCCCAAACCGGGATTTTGACTAACTCGAGTCACTCCTTACATCTTTTCTAGATAATTCCACCAAATTTTTTTTCTGGAATGCCGTTTGCGATTCGTGTCAAATAAACGATCACTAAGCCTACTAGAACAGAGGAGAATAGAGGAAATAAATTTCGATAACAACAACTAGCAGTTCATCGAGCTGAACGTACTGGTACTATGTTCGGGACTCAAACTTGCTTTCTCGTTTCGATTTCTGCCAAAATTATCAAGCATGCGGGTTAGTGTAATAAAAATTCAAGCAGGTGGGTTAATTAGTCCCGAAAGAAAAATAAATAATGTTGGAAATGAATTAATGAAGCGTTAAAGTACCTTTTTTCTGCCGATGAAAACGATGGATTCGGTGCAAATGGCCGTAATCGGGGGGATCCTCCGTTGAGTCACTCGCTACGCTCCCACCACATGACGAAGTGGGGGAAGAGTCACTAGAGACTGAGGCCATCATGACGTCGAGGAGGTTCGCCCTGGCCTAAAAAAGAAAAAAAATTGGAGAAAAATAGTCAAGTAGAAATGGGTACCAATTTTCGGTTCACGATGTATAAGATGAGTTTTTTACTCGTAAAATTTAAATAAACAAGAATAAAACGGAGATTTTTGCAAATTTAGGAGACACACTGTATCATAGAAAATGATTATACCAAATCGCTTTTTTTTAAATAACCAAAATGGATACCAAATTTCGGTCCATGCTGTATACACGAAAACCGTTTCTTTGTATACTTTTTTTTTAATTGAGTTGAAACAGATTAAAGACTTTTTAGTACTAAGTTTTAAAATTTAGACATAATAGTCAAAATGTGTATCTATTTTTGGTCCATGCTATACGAAAAGCATTTTTTTGTGAATTTTTTTATTAAAATAGAATTGAAATAAAAATTAAAAAAACTTGTTTTCGTGTTCATTTTCTAAATTTACACATTACACATATCTAAAAAAGATTTGGAAATGGTCAGTGATGTGTACCAATTTTCGGTCCATGTTGTATATTATATGCAAATAGCTTTTTATATTTTTTCTATTAAAATTGATTTGAAACAGAATAAAAACATCGTTTCAATATCAATAATAGTCAAAATGTGTACTTATTTTCGGTACATGCTGTATAGAAAAGCGATTTTATGAGAGGTTTTTTTATTAAAATTGCATTGAATCAGAATACAAATATAAAAAAAAATGTTTTCGTGTTCATTTTTTAAATTTATACATTGACATACTTAGAAAAAATATTTTGAAAAATTCAGTGATGTGCACCAATTTTCGGTACAAGCTGTATATTATATGAAAACCGTTCTTTTATTAAAATTGAATTGAAACAATAAAAATATCGTTTCAATATTAATAATAGTCAAAATGTGTACTTATTTTCGGTACATGCTGTATAAAAAAGTGATTTGTTTTGAGAGGTTTCTTTTATTAAAACTGAATTGAATCAATAGTAATTTTAAAAAAACTTGTTTTCGTGTTCATTTTTTAAATTTACACATTGACATACTTAAAAAAAGATTTCGAAATAGTCAGTGTGTGTACCAATTTTCAGAACACGCTGTATATTATACAAAACCCGTTTTTAAAAATTATTTTTTAATTAAATTTGGATTGAAACAATAAAAAAATCGTTTCAATATTAATAATAGTCAAAATATGTACTTATTTTCTGGACATGCTGTATAGAAAAGCGATTTTTTTTTTAACTTTTTTTATTAAAATTGAATTGAATCAGAATAATAATTAAAAAAAACTTGTTTTTCGTGTTCATTTTTTTAAATTTACACATTGACATACTCAAAAAATATTTTGAAATAGTCAGTGATCTGTACCAATTTTCGCTGTATATTATATGAAAACCTTTTTTTTATAATTTTTTTTTATTAAAATATTAAAATCAATTCAAATTGAAACAATAAAAATATTGTTTCAATATTAATATTAGTCAAAATATGTACATATTTTCGGTACATGTTGTATAATAGAAAAGCAATTTTTTTTGAAAGGTTTTTTTTATTAAAACTGAATTGAAAGAAAATGGAAATTAAAAAAAATATTTTTGGGGTCATTTTTTAAATTTATACATTGACATACTTAAAAAAAATATTTTGAAAAAGTCAGTGATGTGTACCAATTTTCGGTACATACTGTATAAAAACTATTTTAAAAATAAAAAATTTCAAAAATTTTGATGTTTTCGAAACCAAATTGTATTTTCATTATTTAGAAAAATAGTTGAAAACAGTACCATTTTGTGGTAAAATCTTTTTAATTTGATTAATTAAAAAAAATACAAAAAACGCAAATATTTGAATTTTTAATTTTGAAAACTATTCTTTATTGCAGATCGAAAAACTTCACGTAATTTATAGTACATACAGTGTGATTCAAAAAAGTAGTATACGATGACAATATAATCATTGCCAACGTATGCCTCACTATACAGGGTGATTCAAAAACACACACCTTCGGATCCGTCAAATCTATATCCTTCTCCACATGCACCCACCCCGTCGTTCTACACCCCTCATCCAACTTATTCGCTCCGCCTCCTGACCCCTCCTCCTTCTCCCCTCCAACCGGCGGCGGTGGCTCCTCCCCATTTTTAATCATACGATTCAACTCATCAATCACATCTTTCGAAGTTGCACGTTCATGAAAACTTACAGCACGATGGGGAGGGCCTTCAATAATATTACTTATAACACCGGAAGTGCATTGCGGAAGTCGTTCAGACGTGATCACATGATGTTGGCCTTGTTTCACTTTCGGTATTTTACTCTTTGGTTTCGGTAATTCATCGGTTTTTTTCGGTATAGATGGCGCCACCACCAATTTCGAATCGCGTTTCCGGCGCGGTATTTTCGAAATTATCGTACTCGTTGAAACGTCACTCGAATCGGTTATAACCGATGAGGTTACACTAGTGCATATATCAACCGGTAGGGCGGCCATATTCGAACAATTCTCACTTATTTCGACATCGATAGGGGTGACCAAACACACCTCATCAGCATACGCGATATTTTGTTCGTCTTTTTTCGCATATTCCTCGCATAATTGCTTCAATGTGACGTAATTTTCGTCACCAGGCCCCTCAATACTGAAGTCTTTCGTTGGATCGGCCATTTTTAAATTTAAAACATTGTGAAAAGTGTCACAATTCGACGAAGTCGACGCGAGACTTTTCGTACTCTCGAATTTGACCAATCGGTAAAAGTCGCGCGTGAAATCGGTACCGGGGAGTTCCCCGGTGTCGTCGCTCAGCGCCGCCGACGATCGTTTCGAGAAAGTCTCCGCCTCGGACGAGCCGCTCGACCAATCCGGTGAGCGGGGCGTGGCGTACGGCCACGCCTGTTTTTCGTTCTCGCCAATGAGGAGTGTGACCAATTCGCGGCCTTCTTTGTCCATGAGATAGCTCGAGTTGTTCCAAAGACACTCATTGGCGTCCTCTTCGAGCTCGAGGGCGTTGTTCTCCTGGATGCTGGGGAGGGTGGAGGGCGTTACCGCCTCGATACGTTTGCATTGTTCGCGTAAATCGTCGTTTGATAAACTCAAACTCCAGTCTTCTAATTCGGCGCGGTCGTATTCCAATTCGAGTAAATCGCGTTGCTGTTGAAGGGTGGTTCGGGTGTCGTCGAGACGCAACCATTGCTGGATGTATTCGGCGTCCCATGTGGGACAACATTCCATTTCGGTCGGGCTGGGCCAAGAATCATCACAGATTTCGAAATTGGTGTTACCTAAGGTGAAATAGTATATTACGCACAAGCTGGGAAATGTAGCCATCGAGGTTTGCATATACTATTTTATTTACAATATGAATTAATTGGAAAAATTAATACCCCATAAAGTGCTAGTGGCTTTGGCTCGTCGCAAAGGATTCTTGTCGGTTATATCAAGGAGAAAAATCGAAGGACTGCTAGAAATAGGCGACGTGATGCTGTAGCAAGGACTTGGGGCTGTTGTTATTTTGATACAGAGATGCGAGTCGGAGAAACTTCGCATGATGTGTTGAAATGGTAACATCTCTTTGCCGGGAGGGTAACTGTTCCTGAAAATTATTAATAATGTTAAAAAAGTTGTGAAATAGTTATTTGTGTATCAAGGGAGAAAATAACAGCTTTAATCCTGAGAATGTAGGTAACGCAAGAGGTGATCGGAGAGGGCCGAGGGCATTTTCACTCGGAGGATATATTAACAAAGTTTAGTACAGAAATACATACAAAACTTTCCTCCCAACAGTCTAAATTAACAATAACATGAGAAAAAAAGTATAGAGATCAAAATTTAATTAATTTTATTAAAGTTGTAAAAACGAATTATTTCATAATTGTAGTAAAAAAGCTAAAAATTACTCATTTTGAGTAGAAAACAAGCAAAAAATTTGTTTTTTCATTATTTTGAGACACTCCGTATAGAAATAACGCTTAGTGAAAAAAATTAAAAAGTTGAAAAAATCAATTATTTCACAATTACTGTAGTAAAAAAAAATGTAAAATTTACTCACTCTGAGACGAGCAAAAAAATTATTTTTCATTATTTTGAGACACTCTGTATAGTGAAAAAATCCAAAAGATCTGACGCATAGTAAAAAAATTGAATAAATTGAAAAAATTAATAATTTCGCAATTGTAGTAAAAAAGCTAAAAATTACTCATTAAGTGGAAAACAAATAAAAATTTGTTTTTTCACTATTTTGAGACACTCTGTATAGTGAAAAAAATCCAAAAGAAATGACGCATGGTGAAATAATTGAAAATGTTGAAAAAAGAATAATTTCACAATTGTAGTCAAATTTACTCACTCTGAGAACGAGCAAAAAAATTATTTTTCATCATTTCGAAACACTCTGTATGATGAGAAAAGATGAATAAAAAAATTAAAAAGTTGAAAAAACGAATTATTTCATAATTGTAGTAAAAAACTTAAAGGTACACATTCTGAATAGAAAACGAGTAGAAAATTTGATTTTTCATTATTTTGAGACACTCTGTATAGTGAAAAAAATCCAAAAGAAATGGTGAAAAAATTAAAAAAGTTGAAAAAACAAATTATTTCACAATTGTAGTAAAAAAAACGGTAAAATTTACTCCCTCTGAGACGAGCAAAAAGATTTATTTTTCATGATTTTGAGACACTCTGTATAGTGAAAAAAATCCAAAAAATATAACGCATAGTGAAAAAATTAAAAAAGTTGGAAAAATAAATTACTTCACAATTGTAGTAAAAAGAAAGGAAAAATTTACTCACTCTAATAACAAGCAAAAAAATTTATTTTTCATGATTTTGAGACACTCTGTATAGTGAAAAAAATCCAAAAGAAATAAGGCATAGTGAAAAAATTAAAAAAGTTAAAAAACCAAATTATATTTCACAATTGTAGTGAAAAAAACGGTAAAATTTACTCACTCTGAGACGAGCAAAAAATTTATTTTTCATGATTTTGAGACACTTTGTATAGTGAAAAAAATCCAAAAGATATGACGCATGGTGAAAAAAAACTGAACATGTTGAAAAAATAAATTATTTCACAGTTGTAGTAAAATTTACTCATTCTGAGAACGAGCAAAAAATGTATTTTTTTATGATTTTGAGATACCCTGTATGATGAAAAAGGATGAATAAAAAAATTAAGAAGTTGAAAAACAAATTATTTCACAATTGTAGTAAAAAAAAAGTAAAATTTACTCACTCCGAAACGAGCAAAAAAATATTTTTCATGATTTTCAGACACTCTGTATAATGAAAATCGATGGATAAAAAATTATAAAGTTAAAAAAACGAATTATTTCACAATTGTAGTAAAAAAGCTATTAAGTTATTAAAATCAATTATAAAGTCAAGTCAAAATTATGTTTTCCAAAAGGAAAAATGTGTAAAAAAAATACCCAAAATGGTATAAAGGTACGATATACAGAGTGATTCGGGAAAAATAAAGATTCAAATAAAAAATAAAAAACTGAAAAAATTCTTACAAAAAACAATATTTTGTCGTTCTTGTTTTATTTTTCAATATTACTGATTTCTTCAGTCATTACAATACTCTTTTTAGGAATCGGACATCTTTGCTGAATCAATCTGTACTGAATTTCGATTAAATTCTATTAAGATTAACGACAAAATTCAGTAAATTAAACATTTATGTTTTTTTTAAATAAATATTTTAAAGAAAAAATAAAACACAAAAGCCAGCAGATGAGTCACCCTGTATTTAACTACAATTATTTTAATTTTCCGAATTATGACGCATTAAGTTTCAATTCCATATATTAGAAAATGTTACTGTCAATTTATTTATTGATATATAGGATGATTCAGCTAATATTACCCTAATTGTTTTATGTGTATCAAATTTTAATTAATGAAACCTAATAAAATAATTGAAAAAAATTTACTATAGGCAGATATCGACACAAAGATCAGCAGATTACGACGAATTACCTTTTTCGAGTCACCCTGTAATTAGTACAAATTAACTGACATTCGGTTTTGACGAAAAAAAAGCAAAAAATGTAAAGGGTGACTTAGCTAAAAAATACCCAAAATGGGCTAAATGTACGATATACAGAATGATTCGGGAAAAATGAAGATTCAAATCAAAAATAAAAAGCTGGAAAAATTCTTACAATAAACAATATTTTCTGATTCTTGTTTTATTTTTTATTTTTCAACATTACTGATTTCTTGATCACAATACTCTTTTTAGGAATCGGACATCTTTGCTGAATCAATCTATACTTCGATTAAATTCTATTAAGATTAACGACAAAATTTAGTAAATAAATTTTTTTTTTTAATAAATATTTTGAGGAAAAAATAAAACACATAAAAGCCATTACAGATGAGTCACCCTGTATTTAACTACAATTATTTTAATTTTCCGAATTATGGCAAATCAAGTTTCAATTACATATATTAGAAAATGTTACTGTCAATTTATTTTGATACATAGGATGATTCAGCTAATATTACCCTAATTGTTTTATGTGTATTAAATTTTAATTAATGAAACCTAAGAAATAAATTAATTGAAAAAAAATTACTATAGGCAGATATCGATACAATTACATTTTTCGAGTCACTCTGTAATTAATAAAAATTAACTGACATTCAAAGACTTTCAGTTTTGACGAAAAAAAAGCAAAAAATGTAAAGGGTGACTTAGCTAAGATGACACAATTTTGTTTGAAATTAAAAAAAAAACAAATTGTTTAAATCGATTTTAATACCAAGTCAAAATTGTTTTTTTTTGTGTACAAATTGTATACAGGGTGTTAAGAAAAGATTGTAAAATATTTAAGAAGATACTTTGCGGACCCATGTTTAATAAGACTTTTTTACGATCTTTTTTTAACACCCTGTATAATATAATCATTGGATGAATATAATCATTGACAAAGTATATCTGACAGATTCATGACTATTATTACTTGTAATTTTAATAAGTTGTAACAAACAGTGTACTTTAAATTGCTTTACAACTCAAGTTGTAAACTATACATTTTTAAAGAACGCATCTACTCCCAAAAAAAAAAAAAAATTAAACATCAGTATATCAAAAAAGTGTCCAAGACCTTCATGATGAGTCACCCTATATTTATTAACAATAATTTCAATTTTGACTATTTTGCCGAATCGAGTTTCAGTTATATTAGAAAAAATTGCTATAGATTTGTTTTTGATACAGAAATAGAATAATTCAACAAATAATACATTGAAACTTTAAACACACCCAAATATAATCATTGACAACGTATATCTGACCGATTTATGATTATTATTACTTGTGATTTAAATCAGTTGTAAGGAACTATGTACTTTAATTGTTTCACAACCCGAGTTGTAAACTATATTTTTTCTACTCCCAAAAAAAATTTTTTTTTTTTAAAACACTCACCTTGGCTTGAGATTCAGCAAATTGAACGGAATGTAAAGTATGTCAGGATCCTTATTGTCAGTCACAAGAAGGCGCGTTTCGGTGGTAATATCAGTCTCGTCGGTGTCCTCCTTCAAATCCTCCAATCCCCTCATTGGGATCGCTTCACTCCTCGTCAAATCGGCTTGAACATCGGAAGACATCGTCGAGTATCCCTCATCCCTATTCCCACTCTCGGGCGACTCATTCCCTGCCTCCTCCTCACTCTTCGAACTACTTTGCAAAATGGGGCGACTCCTCCTGTATTTCGTCGCTTGAACGATGGGCAAATGGAGATTCAACGAGACGGGCCGTTGGGGCTGCACCCACAGACTCGAATCGACACTCCCAAGGGCTTCGAGGAGCCTTTTGGGGGTCACTTCGCTGCCTTTGAGCTCCGTCCAGAGCTTCGTGAGGACCTGGTGGCGTTTTTTGTCCTCGAAGGAGAGTTTCGTGTCGAGGATTTCGGAGTTTGTGGAGAGACGACGTTCGAATTTTGATAAAGCGGTTTCGGAGGTGTCGTCCGAGTTGAAAGAGTTGAAATGTTTGATTACGGTGGGGAGGGAGGAGTCCTCTGGGGGCGGTTCGGGGGATGAGGGGGTGTCGCCGCGAAGCTGGTGCACCAGCATGGAGGTCAAGGCGCGGTTTTGGGACTCCAGTTCGTGGATGCGCGAGTTGAGGTGGCCGACTTCCTCACGTAAGCCCTGAAAAAAACATCACACGACTTTCCTTATCCTACTTATTTGGAAAACATCCTAATTAAAATTTTGATTTTTGGTCTTTGCGGCCGAACGGTGCGACCGATTTTTACCAAATGTTTCGTGCTACGTCCCCTTGCTACAAGTAACTTTCATACCAAATTTCAAGTTTCTAACTTTTATCGTTCTCGAGATATGTTGTTTACAGACAGACAGACACACACACGACCCAATGGCTCAAACCAACTTTTTTGGTGTCTTGAAGTTATAATTCGTCCAGAAATGTAAAAATATAGGCAGGACAAATTTCAGGCGATTACAAAAAATTGTTTTTTTTTTGAAAAATCGAAAATTTTAAAATTAGACTAAATGACGTTTTTTGTTACATTTTGCGCATTTTGCGTACTTTTTTAATATAATTTTTGAAAATTTAGGAACTTTTTAAGGTGGTGGTAACAAATGTCACAAAGTTTGATAGATCCGATTTTCGAAGTGTCAAATATTTTTCAAAATTTTGTTGAATTAACAACGAATACTGCAAATATTTCATGCACACCACGCTGCTGAAAATCACCATTACCAACCTTTAGAAAGTAAATTTTACTAGTCTATTATAGCACCCAAATTCGTGTTGAAATAGCTCATTAAAGCATTGGTTTTGGTATCGAAATAAGCTTTCTTTCAGACGCAAATTAGAAAAAAATGTTTTATAGTGTTGAAATAAACTGTAGGTATACAAAAATTAGTGAGCGACAAAAACAAATTTTTAAAATTGCTAAATAAAAAAATGGTGGCTTAAATCGAGTTTTATAAAGTCGAAATTAACTAGAGAAAATAAAAACAAATAAATATAAAAAATCTTTTATTTTTAATTAATTAGGAAAATTTTGGAATTATAAAACAAGAGACCATCATCATAAGTACTAAAAAACTTTGGTTATGTCAAAAATTGAAACTGAAATGAGTAATTGAGCCGAAATTAACTATAAGAAAAAAAAAAGAAATAAAAAAAATTGTTACTTCTAATTATTTTGGAGAATATTTACAAAAGAACATCGTCATAAATACAAAAATTTTAAGTTATATCAAAAATTAAACAAAATGGCGGCGGAAATCGGGCTTTCTAAGAACAAAATTAACTATGAAAAATATGAAGAAAAAAAGTAGAAAAGCGCTGATATTTTTTATTACTCCGAAGAATATTACATTTTTAAAAAACTTAAGTAATGGCAAAAAGGCGACCAAAATAACGTTTTATAAAGTCAAAATTAACAATAGAAAACAAAAACAAAACAGAAAATGTGAAAACCCGTTATTTTTTATTAGGTTGAAGAAAATTGGAGCTTTAAAAAAAAATATCGTCATAAGTACTAAAATTTTAGGTTATATCACAAATTAAATAAAATGGGGGGTGAAAAATATTTACAAAAAAAATAGAATATTTCTGAAATTTTTTATTAATCTGAAAAATATTCGTATTAAAGCAAAAGAACGTTATAGGTACTAAAATTTTAGGTTATATGAAAAATTAAACAAAATGGAGGCTGAAATCGGGCTTTCTAAGTACAAAATTAACTATGAAAAATATTTACAAAAAAAGTAGAATATTTCTGAAATTTTTCATTAATCTGAAAAATATTAGTTTTAAAACAAAAGAACGTCATAGTCACTAAAATTTTAGGTTATATGAGAAATTAAACAAAATGGGGGCTGAAATCGGGCTTTGTAAGTAGTACGAAATTAACTATGAAAAATATTTACAAAAAAAGAATATTTCGGAAATTTTTTATAATCTGAAAAATATGAAAGCTTTAAAGTTGGACTTTTTTAATTTTAAATCCTTTAATAGCTTCAAGTATTTTCTAAAAGTTTCGTTGAGTTAGTCATTTAGTATTCTTTAATTATGTTTATA